GCTGGCTGAGCCATCGCTAGACAAAGTATTCATTATATAGGGCGCTCAGTTATAAAGAGTTGAAATCTTAAAAATAAGTCAAATCATGATTCAGTCAGATTGATTGACATTGCATTAAAATTTCTATTCTTGTTTGTTTATCTTCTTATTTTTGTAAGTCAACGCAATGATACAGCAGAAATAAAAAAAAAAGGTTCAAATTCAATCTTCAAAATCTTCATAATCAATCCAATCCAATTGTTATTACAACACAATCAACAAATCTATTTAAAGCTTTAAAAATAAATATTAAGGTTCTAATTTAATCATAAAAATTACATTAGTCAATCTAATCTAATCTAATTAAATCAGTCAATCTATCGAGATTGTTTTTACATTTCATTTAATAACTCCATTTTTACATTAAAAACTCAAATTAAATACTAAGGAATGATGAAGTCTGAAAATCTCAAGTTATTAGGTAATAGCTAGATTTTACTCTCCGCATAGAGTGATCATTGACAGTATAAACTAAGATAATATATGTGGATAAGAATTAAAGAGAATTCATGGTTATGGTCTCTATACTCTTAATATTTTTTTTACTGATCCTCATAAATAGGCTCATCGTCATCATCAGAATATTCGCAACCCTCCCCATCAATATACAACTCGTCATCCTCATCTTCATGCAATGGCTGTTTACTCGGCTGGGCCTCTTCGGCTGGGTTCTCATTCACTGAAAGATCCAAAGTATCATGTGAGTCATCTGATGGTTTCTTCTTACTTTTCTTGAATATTCCAAAGAGTCCACCCTTTTGTTTCTGTTTGGTGGCAGGAGCAGGAGGCGGTGGAGCAGACACAGGAAGTTGAGGAGGAGGTGGAAGAGATGGAGGAGGAACTAACGAGGGAGGACCAGAGTTCTGACGAGCAACCATGGGTGAGGGCTGGGCTCTCACTGGAGTTGGAGATTCAAATCCAGGCACATTGCAGCTTCCAATATCATCATATATATCCTCGCATTCCTCAAGTTCTGGATTGTATTCACCAACTATACAGGATTCCTGAATCAATGGGAACTCTGCATCCTCGTAGATATCCTCTTCGTCTTCCTCATTATTGTCGTACTGTGTAACTGGAGGTCGTGGTGGCTCAACTTCTTTCAAATGTGAAACTTGTTTGAATGCTGGGTAGTCGCAAACTTCATCAGTATAAAATGCCTCATCATCGTCTTCAATATGTTCTTCTGTAGAGCATACTATTTGTTGATCGGGTGGACGAGGAAAACGTAGTGTTTTAGGAGCATCATAAAGAGGTGATAGTGATGGTGATGTTGGAGGTGGTAAGTCGTCTTCAGTGAACATTTCATCGCAATCCCCACCAGGATACGTATCTTCAGGGAACGGTAAGTCATTCTCGGTGTACATTTCCTCACAATCTCCATCAGGATACGCATCTTCAGGGAACGGTAAGTCATTCTCAGTGTACATTTCCTCGCAATCTCCATCAGGATACACATCTTCAGGGAACGGTAAGTCATTCTCAGTGTACATTTCCTCACAATCTCCATCAGGATATGCATTTTCAGGCAATGGTAAGTCATTCTCGGTGTACATTTCTTCACAATCTTGATCAAGATACGCATCTTCAGGGAACGGTAAGTCATTCTCAGTGTACATTTCCTCACAATCTCCATCAGGATACGCATCTTCAGGAATATAGTCTGGAAAAGTATCTGCCTTTATGCTAATATTCACTGGGAACGTACTGAGAGGTATTACTGGTGCCTTTGAAGGCTTTTGTAGAAGTCGCCGTTTTGGATGAGGAATCACGACCTCATCTCTGACTAGAGGAGGGTCCGGAAATATTTCTGGTAATTCGTCCGGTGGATTGGAAGATTCTGCAGAATTAGCTTCATTTTGAGGTTTTTCAATTTGTAGTGGATCATTTTCAGACTGAGAACTTGACGAACCATTATTTGGAGTAGGCACTGGCACTGGCACTGGCCTTCTACGGATGGAAAGTTTTGAACTTCTCTTAGGAACTGGGGGTGATTTTATATCCGGCTGTTCATTGCTGATCTCTTCATTGTTATCCAGGCCAGAAGGAAGTGGTGGAAGTAAATCTGTGTCGCTGGTTACAGAACTCCTATTTTCAGCGTCAGTTTTGATAGGGGACGCTACTGCTTTCAGATGTGCTCTGAAATCTATCACTGGGCTCTCCACCTTTTCATTAAAAGAGTCGGCTTCTCTCCTTGGAATTGTTGTTTTTCTAAGTTCCGATGGTCTGGTGAGGCCACCTTTGAAAAGATCTCCTATCTGTTGATTTGCAGTGACTGGAATAGCTGGTCGAGGTTTCTCTGCTTTACTTCCTGGTTGTGGAGCTGGTTTTTTTCCAAATAATCTCTTCTTTTCATTTAACTTTTTTGGAGGTTTATTCTGCTTTTGGGTTTGTAAGAACACATTAGACTGTGGATTGCAATAAAGATCCTCGTTGTCTGACATGACCTGCGCATTTACTAAAATTAATAAATGTGGTTTAATGTTATTATCGTTATAATCATTAATTAATCAATCAAATGTGGTTTAATGTTATTATCATTTATCATTATGTCCAAGTAAAGAAAAAAATAAATCTTGTATTATATTACTGCTAACTGAGTTTATTATAAGATGTAATAAAAGAAGTGGACTCGTATTCTGCCCCACAACAAGCAGGCTACCCCAAATCTAAAGTAAATTCAGATAATTATCTGGAAGAGGTTGTTCAAAAACATATAAGTGATACGAACAAGGGCATAACCAGGATGTTTGGCAGGGGGTGCGCTATAGTTTCGGGGGTTAATAGTTTTACATTAATTTTAGACTCGGAGAGCCCCTGTAAATGGCAAAAAGTCAAAGTGTCAATCAGGGAGTAAAAATGAACAGCAAGCTGATTTTTAGGTCCAATTAGAAATTAGAATCACTATCATTATCACTAGTAAGTAGTTACTGTAAGAAGCTAGGCAGTAAGCTACAGCCAAACGTCCAAAATTTAACCAGAAAGAAGATGTCATCACTGAAAGATGTCGACTGCGGCCCCGCGCTTAGCGCTGAACTTTTTCAGGGGGGGGGGGGGGGGGGGGGGGTTTACACCCCCTTTTGGATACAAAATGTTTATCAAGCAGGAGCTTTTAAAATGCATGTTTAATGTTTAAATCGTCTTCAGCTGATAAGTGATAAGTAGACAAATATGTAATGTCCCAGTTCAACCTAAAATAAGTGCCTCAATTTATTGAAAAATAGCGTCCACACCCAGGCTTGCTTCAGACTGATGGAATACAGCCTGCCACAAGGCACTTTATGAGGATTGTGGTCAAAGTCAGTATACATAATACATATGTGAGTATTATGACGGAGCCATGCTTCATATTTGAGACCTGTAAATTTACAGATGGTATACTGTAACTACTCATTCGAGGATTCCGTTGCCAAAATTTGAAAATTCGGTTTTTGGAGGCTACACCCAGTCAACATTGAATGGCTTATGTTTGCTAACATGATTGAAATATAGGTCATTAATGTGAAATATGATCTGAAAAGATTATGCAAAACAGATTTAAAATGACGAAGTTATCAATTATAAAGAATTGTGAATTGTGGATGATCGATGGTCATTAATTAATTTACGATCTTTTTGTGACGAACAATTAAAACTATTTAGTTAGCAAGATTAGTTACATTTTTGAACAAGTGACAGAGTTTTTATACCTCCTACCTTATACCTTATACCTATGTCACCTATGTTGAGATACGTTAAGCTTTAACAGGGCCATTGCATTGTGTGACCACCCCACAGAGAGGAGATCTCTCTGTCATTCCTCCAGCAAACTTAGCATTAAAGTTTTATTATTATTATTTATTGTCAAAAATAAATATTTATGATGACGTGTTATGATGTTTGTGTCATTATTATTTGATTTGATTCACATTATTAACATTTTATGTAGCGTTCGTTATCTTTTTAATCGACAGCAGTGTATTTTTGTAATAACGCAATGAAACAGCAGAGATTTGAGAAAAGACAATTTCTTGAGAAAAGACAATTTTACTATTTATCACCAATTCAATACACAAACAATCAATAAATATATATCCGAATAATGATTTCAAAGTAAATGATACAAGCAGTCAAGTATGCCAGCAGCTAGATCTGACCACACCGCCACTCATATTACCACAGCTGGTGAAAGGACCCAGGCGCTATTAAGCTTTTATGAGCCCTGGTTGACTGCTGAGAGTGGCGACGGGTCTGACATTAATTTTGTTTTCCCTATATTCCAGTAAAATTTAAGTTTTAAGTTATATGATTGTCATGCGATATTTAAGTCACAGCTGCTCGCAATACATCATTGATTATAAAATTGTTAAATATGCTCGCTATACACTTTTAGATACCGCATGTATATGTACACATTATTTAAAAAAATTAAGGTCAAAATCAAATAAATCAAATAGTTATTACAAGGCATTCAACAAATCTATTATTTCAAGGTTAAAACAAATATCAAGGTTCTAATTTAGTCATTAAAATCAAATCAATGAATCTCAAGTTATTAGGTATCAATTAATCTAACTAGAGAACTAGCAGATAAGTGGAAATGCTATAGCTAGATTTACTCTCCGCATAGAGTGATCAATGAGATTATAAAATACAATAATATCTTGGCTGTTGAGTGCTACGGGCGATAATGCCAAGGTATGATTGGAAGATGTGTAATGTGATACGTGCACATGATAGAGTATAGTGTGTAATATATAGAGCGCAACTGTTATTTGTTTTGAAACGTCCTGCCAGACAGTCTGAGGTGACTCGCAGTCTGTCCTCATAATACTCTGACAACCCTTATGGAAAATTATCGGTTACCAGTGTCCACGACTTTTCGGGGAAATAATTCCCGGAAAATATTATACTAAGATAATATATGTACATAAGAATTAAAGAGAATTCATGGTTATGGTCTCTATACTCTTAATATGTTTTTACTGATCCTCATAAATAGGCTCATCGTCATCATCAGAATATTCACAACCCTCCCCATCAATATACAACTCGTCATCCTCATATTCATGCAATGGCTGTTTACTCGGCTGGGCCTCTTCGGCTGGGTTCTCATTCACTGAAAGATCCAAAGTATCGTGTGAGTCATCTGATGGTTTCTTCTTACTTTTCTTGAATATTCCAAAGAATCCACCCTTTTGTTTCTGTTTGGTGGCAGGAGCAGGAGGCGGTGGAGCAGACACAGGAAGTTGAGGAGGAGGTGGAAGAGATGGAGGAGGAACTAACGAGGGAGGACCAGAGTTCTGACGAGCAACCATGGGTGAGGGCTGGGCTCTCACTGGAGTTGGAGATTCAAATCTAGGCACATTGCAGCTTCCAATATCATCATATATATCTTCACATTCCTCAAGTTCAGGATTGTAATCACCAACTGGACAGGATTCCTGAATCAATGGGAACTCTGCATCCTCGTAGATATCCTCTTCGTCTTCCTCATTATTGTCGTACTGTGGAACTGGAGGTCGTGGTGGCTCAACTTCTTTCAAATGTGAAACTTGTTTGAATGCTGGGTAGTCGCAAACTTCATCAGTATAAAATGCCTCATCATCGTCTTCAATATGTTCTTCTGTAGAGCATAATATTTGTTGATCGGGTGGACGAGGAAAAAGTAGTGTTTTAGGAGCATCATAAAGAGGTGATAGTGATGGTGATGTTGGAGGTGGTAAGTCGTCTTCAGTGAACATTTCATCGCAATCTCCATCAGGATACACATCTTCAGGGAACGGTATGTCATTCTCGGTGTACATTTCCTCACAATCTCCATCAGGATATGCATCTTCAGGGAACGGTAAGTCATTCTCAGTGTACATTTCCTCGCAATCTCCATCAGGATACGCATCTTCAGGAATATAGTCTGGAAAAGTATCTGCCTTTATGCTAATATTCACTGGGAACGTACTGAGAGGTATTACTGGCGCCTTTGAAGGCTTTTGTAGAAGTCTACGTTTTGGACGAGGAATCACAACCTCATCTCTGACTAGAGGAGGGTCCGGAAATATTTCTGGAAATTCGTCCGGTGGATTGGAAGATTCTGCAGAATTAGCTTCATTTTGTGGTTTTTCAATTTGTAGAGGATCATTTTCAGACTGAGAACTTGACAAACAATTATTTGGAGTAGGCACTGGCACTGGCACTGGCCTATTACGGATGGAAAGTTTTGAACTTCTCTTAGGAACTGGGGGTGATTTTATATCCGGCTGTTCATTGCTGATCTCTTCATTGTTATCCAGGCCAGAAGGAAGTGGTGGAAGTAAATCTGTGTCGCTGGTTACAGAACTCCTATTTTCAGCGTCAGTTTTGATAGGGGACGCTACTGCTTTCAGATGTGCTCTGAAATCTATCACTGGGCTCTCCACCTTTTCATTAAAAGAGTCGGCTTCTCTCCTTGGAATTGTTGTTTTTCTAAGTTCCGATGGTCTGGTGAGGCCACCTTTGAAAAGATCTCCTAGCTGTTGATTTGCAGAGACTGGAATAGCTGGTCGAGGTTTCTCTGCTTTACTTCCTGGTTGTGGAGCTGGTTTTTTTCCAAATAATCTCTTCTTTTCATTTAACTTTTTTGGAGGTTTATTTTGCTTTTGGGTTTGTAAGAACACATTAGACTGTGGATTGCAATAAAGATCCTCGTTGTCTGACATGACCTGCGCATTTACTAAAATTAATAAATGTGGTTTAATGTTATTATCGTTATAATCATTAATTAATCAATCAAATGTGGTTTAATGTTATTATCATTTATCATTATGTCCAAGTAAAGAAAAAATAAATATTGTATTATATTACTGCTAACTGAGTTTATTATAAGATGTAATAAAAGAAGTGGACTCGTATTCTGCCCCACAACAAGCAGGCTACCCCAAATCTAAAGTAAATTCAGATAATTATCTGGAAGAGGTTGTTCAAAAACATATAAGTGATACGAACAAGGGCATAACCAGGATGTTTGGCAGGGGGTGCGCTATAGTTTCGGGGGTTAATAGTTTTACATTAATTTTAGACTCGGAGAGCCCCTGTAAATGGCAAAAAGTCAAAGTGTCAATCAGGGAGTAAAAATGAACAGCAAGCTGATTTTTAGGTCCAATTAGAAATTAGAATCACTATCATTATCACTAGTAAGTAGTTACTGTAAGAAGCTAGGCAGTAAGCTACAGCCAAACGTCCAAAATTTAACCAGAAAGAAGATGTCATCACTGAAAGATGTCGACTGCGGCCCCGCGCTTAGCGCTGAACTTTTTCAGGGGGGGGGGGGGGGGGGGGGGGGGGGGGGGGGGGGGGGGTTTACACCCCCTTTTGGATACAAAATGTTTATCAAGCAGGAGCTTTTAAAATGCATGTTTAAAGTTTAAATCGTCTTCAGCTGATAAGTGATAAGTAGACAAATATGTAATGTCCCAGCTCAACCTAAAATAAGTGCCTCAATTTATTGAAAAATAGCGTCCACACCCAGGCTTGCTTCAGACTGATGGAATACAGCCTGCCACAAGGCACTTTATGAGGATTGTGGTCAAAGTCAGTATACATAATACATATGTGAGTATTATGACGGAGCCATGCTTCATATTTGAGACCTGTAAATTTACAGATGGTATACTGTAACTACTCATTCGAGGATTCCGTAGCCAAAATTTGAAAATTCGGTTTTTGGAGGCTACACCCAGTCAACATTGAATGGCTTATGTTTGCTAACATGATTGAAATATAGGTCATTAATGTGAAATATGATCTGAAAAGATTATGCAAAACAGATTTAAAATGACGAAGTTATCAAGTATAAAGACCCATTGTGAATTAACAATTTCGATTTTGGAAATAGTGGATGATCAATGGTCATTAATTAATTTACGATCTTTTTGTGATGAACAATTTAAACTATTTAGTTAGCAAGATTAGTTACATTTTTGAACAAGTGACAGAGTTTTTATACCTCCTACCTTATACCTTATACCTATGTCACCTATGTTGAGATACGTTAAGCTTTAACAGGGCCATTGCATTGTGTGACCACCCCACAGAGAGGAGATCTCTCTGTCATTCCTCCAGCAAACTTAGCATTAAAGTTTTATTATTATTATTTATTGTCAAAAATAAATATTTATGATGACGTGTTATGATGTTTGTGTCATTATTATTTGATTTGATTCACATTATTAACATTTTATGTAGCGTTCGTTATCTTTCTAATCGACAGCAGTGTATTTTTGTAATAACGCAATGAAACAGCAGAGATTTGAGAAAAGACAATTTCTTGAGAAAAGACAATTTTACTATTTATCACCAATTCAATACACAAACAATCAATAAATATATATCCGAATAATGATTTCAAAGTAAATGATACAAGCAGTCAAGTATGCCAGCAGCTAGATCTGACCACACCGCCACTCATATTACCACAGCTGGTGAAAGGACCCAGGCGCTATTAAGCTTTTATGAGCCCTGGTTGACTGCTGAGAGTGGCGACGGGTCTGACATTAATTTTGTTTTCCCTATATTCCAGTAAAATTTAAGTTTTAAGTTATATGATTGTCATGCGATATTTAAGTCACAGCTGCTCGCAATACATCATTGATTATAAAATTGTTAAATATGCTCGCTATACACTTTTAGATACCGCATGTATATGTACATATTATTTAAAAAAATTAAGGTCAAAATCAAATAAATCAAATAGTTATTACAAGGCATTCAACAAATCTATTATTTCAAGGTTAAAACAAATATCAAGGTTCTAATTTAGTCATTAAAATCAAATCAATGAATCTCAAGTTATTAGGTATCAATTAATCTAACTAGAGAACTAGCAGATAAGTGGAAATGCTATAGCTAGATTTACTCTCCGCATAGAGTGATCAATGAGATTATAAAATACAATAATATCTTGGCTGTTGAGTGCTACGGGCGATAATGCCAAGGTATGATTGGAAGATGTGTAATGTGATACGTGGACATGATAGAGTATAGTGTGTAATATATAGAGCGCAACTGTTATTTGTTTTGAAACGTCCTGCCAGACAGTCTGAGGTGACTCGCAGTCTGTCCTCATAATACTCTGACAACCCTTATGGAAAATTATCGGTTACCAGTGTCCACGACTTTTCGGGGAAATAATTCCCGGAAAATATTATACTAAGATAATATATGTACATAAGAATTAAAGAGAATTCATGGTTATGGTCTCTATACTCTTAATATGTTTTTACTGATCCTCATAAATAGGCTCATCGTCATCATCAGAATATTCACAACCCTCCCCATCAATATACAACTCGTCATCCTCATCTTCATGCAATGGCTGTTTACTCGGCTGGGCCTCTTCGGCTGGGTTCTCATTCACTGAAAGATCCAAAGTATCGTGTGAGTCATCTGATGGTTTCTTCTTACTTTTCTTGAATATTCCAAAGAGTCCACCCTTTTGTTTCTGTTTGGTGGCAGGAGCAGGAGGCGGTGGAGCAGACACAGGAAGTTGAGGAGGAGGTGGAAGAGATGGAGGAGGAACTAACGAGGGAGGACCAGAGTTCTGACGAGCAACCATGGGTGAGGGCTGGGCTCTCACTGGAGTTGGAGATTCAAATCCAGGCACATTGCAGCTTCCAATATCATCATATATATCCTCACATTCCTCAAGTTCAGGATTGTATTCACCAACTGGACAGGATTCCTGGATCAATGGGAACTCTGCATCCTCGTAGATATCCTCTTCGTCTTCCTCATTATTGTCGTACTGTGTAACTGGAGGTCGTGGTGGCTCAACTTCTTTCAAATGTGGAACTTGTTTGAATGCTGGGTAGTCGCAAACTTCATCAGTATAAAATGCCTCATCATCGTCTTCAATATGTTCTGTAGAGCATACAATTTGTTGATCGGGTGGACGAGGAAAAAGTAGTGTTTTAGGAGCATCATAAAGAGGTGATAGTGATGGTGATGTTGGAGGTGGTAAGTCGTCTTCAGTGAACATTTCATTGCAATCTCCACCAGGATACGTATCTTCAGGGAACGGTATGTCATTCTCGGTGTACATTTCCTCACAATCTCCATCAGGATATGCATCTTCAGGGAATGGTAAGTCATTCTCAGTGTACATTTCCTCGCAATCTCCATCAGGATACGCATCTTCAGGAATATAGTCTGGAAAAGTATCTGCCTTTATGCTAATAATCACTGGGAACGTACTGAGAGGTATTACTGGCGCCTTTGAAGGCTTTTGTAGAAGTCGTCGTTTTGGACGAGGAATCACAACCTCATCTCTGACTAGAGGAGGGTCCGGAAATATTTCTGGTAATTCGTCCGGTGGATTGGAAGATTCTGCAGCTTCATTTTGAGGTTTTTCAATTTGTAGTGGATCATTTTCAGACTGAGAACTTGACGAACCATTATTTGGAGTAGGCACTGGCACTGGCCTTCTACGGATGGAAAGTTTTGAACTTCTCTTAGGAACTGGGGGTGATTTTATATCCGGCTGTTCATTGCTGATCTCTTCATTGTTATCCAGGCCAGAAGGAAGTGGTGGAAGTATATCTGTGTCGCTGGTTACAGAACTCCTATTTTCAGCGTCAGTTTTGATAGGGGACGCTACTGCTTTCAGATGTGCTCTGAAATCTATCACTGGGCTCTCCACCTTTTCATTAAAAGAGTCGGCTTCTCTCCTTGGAATTGTTGTTTTTCTAAGTTCCGATGGTCTGGTGATGCCACCTTTGAAAAGATCTCCTAGCTGTTGATTTGCAGAGACTGGAATAGCTGGTCGAGGTTTCTCTGCTTTACTTCCTGGTTGTGGAGCTGGTTTTTTTCCAAATAATCTCTTCTTTTCATTTAACTTTTTTGGAGGTTTATTTTGCTTTTGGGTTTGTAAGAACACATTAGACTGTGGATTGCAATAAAGATCCTCGTTGTCTGACATGACCTGCGCATTTACTAAAATTAATAAATGTGGTTTAATGTTATTATCGTTATAATCATTAATTAATCAATCAAATGTGGTTTAATGTTATTATCATTTATCATTATGTCCAAGTAAAGAAAAAATAAATCTTGTATTATATTACTGCTAACCGAGTTTATAAGATGTAATAAAAGAAGTGGACTCGTATTCTGCCCCACAACAAGCAGGCTACCCCAAATCTAAAGTAAATTCAGATAATTATCTGGAAGAGGTTGTTCAAAAACGTATAAGTGATACGAACAAGGGCATAACCAGGATGTTTGGCAGGGGGTGCGCTATAGTTTCGGGGGTTAATAGTTTTACATTAATTTTAGACTCGGAGAGCCCCTGTAAATGGCAAAAAGTCAAAGTGTCAATCAGGGAGTAAAAATGAACAGCAAGCTGATTTTTAGGTCCAATTAGAAATTAGAATCACTATCATTATCACTAGTAAGTAGTTACTGTAAGAAGCTAGGCAGTAAGCTACAGCCAAACGTCCAAAATTTAACCAGAAAGAAGATGTCATCACTGAAAGATGTCGACTGCGGCCCCGCGCTTAGCGCTGAACTTTTTCAGGGGGGGGGGGGGGGGGGGGGTTTACACCCCCTTTTGGATACAAAATGTTTATCAAGCAGGAGCTTTTAAAATGCATGTTTAAAGTTTAAATCGTCTTCAGCTGATAAGTGATAAGTAGACAAATATGTAATGTCCCAGCTCAACCTA